TCCCCATTGTGCCCCATAGGCCCCCATTGTGCCCCATAGCCCCCATTGTGCCCCATAGCCCCCCATTATGCCCCATTGTGCCCCATAGATCCCTGATGGCCTCATCTTCCCCGACCGCGCCACCCTCTACGTGACGGCCATCGAGGACCGGCAGTACAAGGACTACAAGATCCATTGTAAGCAATGGGGGGGGTTGAGTCCTCCCAGCCACTAGGGGGCGCCCCCGAACCATGTGGGGCTCGCCCCGTTGACGGCTCCTGCCCCACACATCTCTAGGGTGGGAGAACGTCAGTGGGGTGGGGGTTCATCCCTCCCGACCACGAGGGGGCGCCCCATTGACGGCTCCTGCCCCACACATCTCTAGGGTGGGAGAACGTCAATGGGGGGGGGTTCATCCCTCCCGACCATGAGGGGGCGCCCCATTGACGGCTCCTGCCCCACACATCTCTAGGGTGGGAGAACGTCAATGGGGGGTGGGGGGTTCATCCCTCCCGACCACGAGGGGGCGCCCCATTGACGGCTCCTGCCCCACACATCTCTAGGGTGGGAGAACGTCTATGGCTTCGACATGTCGTGCATCAAGGACGTGGCCATCAGGGAGCCCTTGGTGGACGTCGTGGACCCCAAGCAGCTCGTGACCAACGCCTGCCTCATCAAGGTGGGCGCTGTGGGGCGCTCTAGGGGCTCTGGGGGGGATCTATGGGGCGCTCTATGGGGTCTCTCTATGGTTTCTCTATGATCTCTATGGCCTCTCTATGGCCTCTCTATGGTCTCTCTATGGTCTCTCTATGGTCTCTCCATGATCTCTATGGCGTCTCTATGGTCTCTCTATGGCCTCTCTATGGCCTCTCTATGGCCTCTCTATGGTCACTCTATGATCTCTCTATGGTCTCTCTATGGTCACTCTATGATCTATGGTCTCTCTATGGTCACTCTATGATCTCTCTATGGTCTCTCTATGGCCTCTCTATGGTCTCTCTATGGTCACTCTATGATCTCTCTATGGTCTCTCTATGGTCACTCTATGATCTCTCTATGGTCTCTCTATGGCCTCTCTATGGCCTCTCTATGGTCACTCTATGATCTCTCTATGGTCTCTCTATGGTCACTCTATGATCTATGGTCTCTCTATGGTCACTCTATGATCTCTCTATGGTCTCTCTGTGGTCACTCTATGGTCTCTCTATGGTCTCTCTATGGCCTCTCTATGGTCTCTCTATGGTCACTCTATGATCTCTCTATGGTCTCTCTATGGCCTCTCTATGGCCTCTCTATGGTCACTCTATGATCTCTCTATGGTCTCTCTATGGTCACTCTATGATCTCTCTATGGTCTCTCTATGGTCACTCTATGGTCTCTCTATGGTCTCTCTATGGCCTCTCTATGGCCTCTCTATGGTCACTCTATGATCTCTCTATGGTCTCTCTATGGTCACTCTATGATCTATGGTCTCTCTATGGTCACTCTATGATCTCTCTATGGTCTCTCTGTGGTCTCTCTATGGCCTCTCTATGGTCTCTCTATGGTCACTCTATGATCTCTCTATGGTCTCTCTATGGTCACTCTATGATCTCTCTATGGTCTCTCTATGGTCTCTATGGCCTCTCTATGGTCACTCTATGGTCTCTCTATGGTCACTCTATGATCTCTCTATGGTCTCTCTATGGTCTCTATGGCCTCTCTATGCTCTCTCTATGGTCTCTCTATGGTCTCTCTATGGTCACTCTATGACCTCTCTATGATCTCTCTATGGTCTCTCTATGATCTCTCTATGATCTCCATGGTCACTCTATGGTCTCTCTATGATCTCTCTATGATCTCTCTGGTCTCTGTGGTCTCTCTGTCGGCAGGAGGTGGACATCTCGGTGGTGAAGGCGGAGGACCTGAGCTTCTGCTCTCTCTATGATGTCTCTATGATCTCTATGATGTCTCTATGATCTCTATGATGTCTCTATGATGTCTCTATGATCTCTATGATGTCTCTATGATGTCTCTATGATGTCTATGATCTCTATGATGTCTCTATGATGTCTCTATGATCTCTATGATGTCTCTATGATGTCTCTATGATCTCTATGATGTCTCTATGATCTCTATGATGTCTCTATGATGTCTCTATGATGTCTATGATCTCTATGATGTCTCTATGATGTCTCTATGATCTCTATGATGTCTCTATGATGTCTCTATGATCTCTATGGTCTCTCTATGATCTCCATGGTCTCTCTATGGTCTCTCTATGGTCTCTCTGTCCACAGGAGGTGGACATCTCGGTGGTGAAGGCGGAGGACCTGAGCTTCTGCTCTCTCTATGATGTCTCTATGATGTCTCTATGATCTCTATGATGTCTCTATGATCTCTATGGTCTCTCTATGGTCACTCTATGGTGTCTCTGTGGTCTCTCTGTCGGCAGGAGGTGGACATCTCGGTGGTGAAGGCGGAGGACCTGAGCTTCACGGCCCCGTTCTGCCTGCAGGTGAAGCGCAACGACTACGTCCACGCGCTCGTCGCCTACTTCAGCATCGAGTTCACGCGCTGCCACAAGCGCACCGGCTTCTCCACCAGTGAGCGGCCAATCGGGGCGCGCCGGCGGGGCGGGGCCCAGCGCCACGGGCCAATCGGCTCCGAGCTGCGGCGGGCAGGGGGCGGAGCCTCACGGGTGGCCCCCCACCTGCTGGGGGTGTGGGGAGCAGCGCCTTTGGGCTGCTCCACTGCACCATGGGGGGGGATGCATCAGCCCATAGGGGGGTTCCTGCCCCCCAAGTGCAGGTCCTGGCCCCCCAAGTGTGGGTCCTGGCCCCCCAAGTGCGGGTCCTGGCCCCCCAAGTGCGGGTCCTAGACCCCAAGTATGGGTCCTGCCCCCCAAATGTGGGTTCTGGCCCCCCAAGTGTGGGTCCTGCCCCCCCATATGTAGGTCCTGGCCCCCAAGTGTGGGTCCTGCCAGCCAAATGTGGGTTCTGGCCCCCCAAGTGTGGGTCCTGCCCCACAAGTCCCCAACTGCAGATCCTGCCCCCCAAGTGTGGGTCCTGCCCCCCAAATGCGGGTCCTGCCCCCCAAGTGCGGGTCCTGCCCCCCAAGTGTGGGTCCTGGCCCCCCAAGTGCGGGTCCTGCCCCCCAAGTGTGGGTCCTGCCCCCCATATGTGGGTCCTGCCCCCCAAGTGCGGGTCCTGCCCCCCCCAAGTGCGGGTCCTGGCCCCCCAGGTGTGGGTCCTGCCCCCCAAGTGCAGGTCCTGCCCCCCAAGTGTGGGTCCTGCCCCCCAAGTGTGGGTCCTGGCCCCCCAAGTGCGGGTCCTGCCCCCCAAGTGTGGGTCCTGCCCCCCAAGTGTGGGTCTGGGCGCCCCGCAGGCCCGGAGTCGCCCTACACGCACTGGAAGCAGACGGTGTTCTACATGGAGGATTACCTGACCGTCAAGAGCGGCGAGGAGATCTTCGGCACCATCACCATGAAACCCAACGCCAAGAACAACGTGAGAGGGGCACATGGGGGGCAGAGGGGGGGCGATGGGGGTGTGGGGCACATGGGGGGCAGTGGGGCAGAGGGGGGGGTGATGGGGGTGTGGGGCACATGGGGGGTGATGGGGGAATGGGGGTGATGGGGGCAATGGAGGCAATAGGAGGAATGGGGTAATGGCAGTGGTGACAATGGGGGGGACACATGGGGGCAGTGGGGGAATGGGGGGCAGATGGGGGGTAATGGGGGGTGATGGGGGAATGGGGGGTGATGGGGGAATGGGGGGCAGTGGGGTATATGGGGGGTGATGGAATGGGGGGCGATGGGGGTGATGGAATGGGGGTGATGGGGGCAATGGAGGCAATAGGAGGAATGGGGTAATGGCAATGGGGGCAATGGGGGGACACGGGGTAATGGGGGGAGCAATGGGGATGCATTGGGGGCAATGGGGAGGCCGTGGAAGCAATAGGGGGGGCCAGTGGGGGGAGTCAATGGGGGGGACAATGGGGGGTCAATGGTGACAATGGGGGGAGCATTGGGGGCAGGTTGGGGGGGACACAAGGGGGGCAATGGGGATATTGGTGGGGGCAATTGGGGGCAGTAGGGGTCAATGGGATCAATGGGGGGCAATGAGGATCAATGGGGGGCAATGGGAACAATGGGGATCAATGAGGGGCAATGGGGATCTGCCTCTTGGGGGTCCCCCCCTTGCCCCCCCCACCCCATAACCCCCCCATTTCCCCCCCTCTGCCCCATAGCGCGACCTGGACTTCACCATTGACCTGGACTTCAAGGGGCAGCTCTGCGAGCTCTCCTGCTCCACCGACTACCGCATGCGTTAGGGGGGACCCCAAAATGGGGGGGACCCCAAAATGGGGGGAACCCCAAAAACGGGGGGGGTCCACCCCAAAAACGGGGGGGACCCCAAATGGGAGGGACCCCAAAACAGGGGGGGACCCCAAAACGGGGGGGGACCCCAAAACAGGGGGGACCCCCAAGCCTTCCCCCCATCACCCCCATTCAGTGTGGGGCTGGGGGCGTCAATCACAACCCCCCCCCCCCATCACCACCATGGGGGGTCCCCAATGGGCCCCCTTTATCCTAATGGGGGGGGGTCCCTGCTATTGGTTCCCCTCCCCCCATGATGGGGTTGGGGGAGGGGCGTCCCCCTCTTGTCCCCTCCCCCCCCTTTCATAAGTTATGTTTTTATATGGGAAGGAATAAAGAAGCCGTGATGTCATCAGAGGGGTTGTGACGTCATTAAGAGGGGGTGATGTCATCAGGGGCTCTGTGATGTCACTGCTGGGGGGGGGGGGGGGTAAAGGTTTATTGAGTGCACAAAGGTCACACCCCCCCCCCCCCCAGCCCAACAATGGGACCTTCCATTGCCCCATAGGGATCCATGGGCCCCATAGGAGGCCTTGTGCCCCGTAGGGATCCACGTGTCCCGCAGGGATCCATGTGCCCCATAGGGATCCACGTGTCCCGCAGGGATCCATGTGCCCCATAGGGATCCACGTGTCCCGCAGGGATCCATGTGCCCCATAGGGGGCCTTGTGCCCCATAGGGATCCCTGTGTCCCGTAGGGGTCCGTGGGGTCCACAGGGGTCCGTGTGCCCCACAGCATGTCCCGGTATCCCAGAGGGGTCCCGGTGCCCCATAGGGCATCCATGTGCCCCATAGGACTCCATGCGTCCCATAAGGATCAATGTGCCCCATAGGGGTCCATGTGCCCCATAGGGATCCATGCGCCCCATAGGGATCCATGCGCCCCATAGGACTCCATGTGCCCCATAGGGATCCATGAGCCCCATAGGGGTCCATGTGCCCCATAGGGATCCATGCGCCCCATAGGGATCCATGAGCCCCATAGGGGTCCATGCGCCCCATAGGGATCCATGCACCCCATAGAACTCCATGCGCCCCATAGGGATCCATGAGCCCCATAGGGATCCATGAGCCCCATAGGGGTCCATGCGCCCCATAGGGATCCATGCACCCCATAGAACTCCATGCGCCCCATAGGGATCCATGAGCCCCATAGGGATCCATGCGCCCCATAGGACTCCATGCGCCCCATAGGGATCCATGCGCCCCATAGGACTCCATGAGCCCCATAGGGGTCCATGTGCCCCATAGGGATCCATGAGTCCCATAGGGATCCATGCGCCCCATAGGAATCCATGCGCCCCACAGGGGTCCATGCGCCCCATAGGGCTCAGAGCTCATCGTGGGGGTGCTCCAGGTCCTCCCCATAGCTGGTGGCCTGGCTCCCCACAAACATCTCCCAATTGGCCAGGACCTCGGCCTCCGTCAGCAGCCCGTCCTGTGGGGCACAGGGGCAGTGTGGGGCTCTATAGGGGGCAATGTGGGGCTCTATAGGGGGCAATGTGGGGCACAGGGGGCAATGTGGGGCACAGGGGGCAATGTGGGGCTCTATAGGGGGCAGTGTGGGGCTCTATAGGGGACAGTGTGGAGCTCTATAGGGGGCAATGTGGGGCTCTATGGGTCCCTGTGTGTCTCAATGGTCTCTATGGGGCCCTACACCTCCCCCTCCCATCAATACATCACGAATGGGGCCCCTCCCCCACCTCCATCCAGGACCCCATAAGGTTGGGGGGGGAATAGGGGCAATGGGGGGAGGGGCAGTGGGAGGGGGAGGGGCAGGGGGAGGGGCAGGGGGAGGGGGAGGGGCAGGGAGGGGGAGGGGCAGTGGGAGGAGCAGTGGGAGGGGGAGGGGCAGTGGGGGGAGGGGCGGGGGGAGGGGCGGGGTCAGTGTGGGCGGGGCTCACCCCGTCGCGGTCCGTGTGGTGCACGAGGTGCTCGGCCTCCAGCTGCGCCCAATCCTGCGTCGGGGGGCGGAGCCAAAGCTCGAGCTCGGCCACGCCCAGGGCCCCGTCCCCGTCCTGGTCCCGGTGCTGCCGGAACTGGGCCCGTTCCCGCTGCAGCCACGGGGGCTCCTCCCCCCCGGGGGGCCCTCCCATAGGTCCGCTGCGGGCAGAGCGACCCATAGGGACCATGGGGACCCATAGGGAACATAGAGACCCATAGAGACCCATAGGGACCCATAGAGACCCATAGGGAACATAGAGACCCATAGAGACCATAGAGACCCATAGGGACCCATAGAGACCCATAGAGATCCATAGGGACCATAGAGACCCATAGAGACCCATAGAGACCCATAGAGACCCATAGAGACCCATAGGGACCCATAGGGACCCATAGAGACCCATAGAGACCCATAGGGACCATGGGGACCCATAGGGAACATAGAGACCCATAGAGACCCATAGAGACCATAGAGACCCATAGAGACCCATAGGGAACATAGAGACCCATAGAGACACATAGGGACCCATAGAGACCCATAGGGAACATAGAGACCCATAGAGACCCATAGAGACCCATAGAGACCAATAGGGACCCATAGAGACCCATAGAGACCCATAGAGACCCATAGGGACCCATAGGGACCCATAGGGAACATAGAGACCCATAGAGACCCATAGAGACCCATAGAGACCATAGAGACCATAGAGACCCATAGAGACCCATAGAGACCCATAGAGACCCATAGAGACCCATAGGGACCATGGGGACCCATAGGGAACATAGAGACCCATAGAGACCCATAGAGACCCATAGAGACCATAGAGACCATAGAGACCCATAGAGACCCACAGAGACCCATAGGGACCCATAGAGACCATAGAGACCCATAGAGACCCATAGAGACCATAGAGACCCATAGAGACCCATAGAGACCCATAGGGACCCATAGAGACCATAGAGACCCATAGAGACCCATAGGGACCCAGAGGGACCCATAGAGACCATACAGACCCCATAGATACCATAGACCCATACAGACCCCATAGAGACCCATAGAGCCCCATAGAGACCATAGAGACCCACAGAGCCCATAAACCCCATAGCACCCCACAGCGCCCCACAGCTCCCAGGTTATGGGTCTGCCCTCACCAATGTACTCATCCTCCTGGATGAGGCCGTCTCCGTTCTTGTCCAGGTCCTCAATGGTCTCCTATGGGGCCACGGGGGGGGTTGGATACAAGGGACCCCATAGGGCCCCATAGAAACCCCATAGAAACCTCATAGCCCCCCCCAGAAACCCCATAGACACCCAATAGCCCCCATAGGAACCCTATGGAGCCCCATAGAGCCACCATAGACCCCATGGAGCCCCCATAGACCCCCATAGCCCCCCATGGCCCCCCATATTCACCCCATAGGCCCCCATATTCACCCCATAGCCCCCCCATTCATCCCATAGCCCCCCATATTCACCCCTTAGACCCCCTATAGCCCCCTAACCCCCCCATATTCACCCCATAGTCACCCTATAGCCCCCTAACCCCCCCATACTCACCCCATGGCCCCCTATTCACCCCATATTCACCCCATACCCCCATAGCCCATGTTTTCCCCACATTCACCCCATAGCCCCCACATTCACCCCACAGCCCCCCATATTCACCCCACAGCCCCCCCATAGCCCCCTAACCCCCCGACATTCACCCCATAGCCCCCCTATTCACCCCATACCCCCCCATAGCCCCACATGTTCTCCCATATTCACCCCATAGCCCCCCCATAGCCCCCTAACCCCCCATATTCACCCCATAGCCCCCCCACATTCACCCCATAGCCCCCCTATTCACCCCATAGCCCCCTCATAGCCCCACATGTCCCCTCATAGCCCCACATGTTCTCCCCACCATTCAACCCATAGCCCCCCCATTCACCCCATAGCCCCCCCATATTCACCCCCATAGCCCCCTCATAGCCCCCACATGTTCTCCCCACATTCACCCCATAGCCCCCCATATTCACCCCCTATTCACCCCATACCCCCTCATAGCCCCACATGTTCTCCCCACATTCACCCCATAGCCCCCCCCATTCACCCCATAGCCCCCCCATATTCACCCCATAGCCCCCCATAGGCCCCCATATTCACGCCATAGCCCCCCTATAGCCCCCCTAACCCGCCCATATTCACCCCATAGCCCCCCATAGGCCCCCTATTCCACCCCATATTCACCCATACCCCCCCATAGCCCCCCATGTTCTCCCCACATTCACCCCATAGCCCCCCCATATTCACCCCATACCCCCCCAGAGGCCCCATATTCACCCCATAGCCCCCCTATAGCCCCCTAACCCCCCCATACTCACCCCATACCCCCCCATAGCCCCCCATGTTCTCCCCATATTCACCCCATAGCCCTCCATTCACCCCATAGCCCCCCCATATTCACCCCATACCCCCCCATAGGCCCCCATATTCACCCCATAGCCCCCCTATAGCCCCCCTAACCCCCCCATACTCACCCCATACCCCCCCATAGCCCCCCCATCCCCCCCCCCCCGTTACCATGACGACGACCCCGCGCATGCGCTCGAAGTCCCCCGGGTGCAGGAAGGCCTCGAGCTCCGCCCCCGCCACGGCCCCGTCCCCGTCCCCGTCCGCGGCCCGGAAGCGCCGCTCGTCCCGCGCCCGCTGCCGCCGCGAGGGGGCGCCCAAGGGCCCGGCTGCGGGAGGGGGCGCTCTGAGCTCCATGGGGCGCTATGGGGTCTGTGGGGTCTATGGGGTCTATGGGGGTCTATGGGGATCTATGGGGGTCTATGGGGGTCTATGGGGGTCTATGGGGGTCTATGGGGGTCTATGGGGCTCTATGGGGTCTATGGGGTCTATGGGGATCTATGGGGGTCTATGGGGATCTATGGGGGTCTATGGGGTCTATGGGGTGCTATGGGGATCTATGGGGGTCTATGGGGCTCTATGGGGTCTATGGGGCTCTATGGGGGTCTATGGGGATCTATGGGGGTCTATGGGGGTCTATGGGGGTCTATGGGGCTCTATGGGGCTCTATGGGGTCTATGGGGCTCTATGGGGGTCTATGGGGGTCTATGGGGGTCCTGTGGGGGTCTATGGGGTCTATGGGGGTCTATGGGGCTCTATGGGGGTCTATGGGGTCTATGGGGGTCTATGGGGTCTATGGGGATCTATGGGGCTCTATGGGGGCTCTATGGGGTCTATGGGGATCTATGGGGGTCTATGGGGGTCTATGGGGCTCTATGGGATCTATGGGCTCTATGGGGATCTATGGGGGTCTATGGGGGTCTATGGGGATCTATGGGGGTCTATGGGGCTCTATGGGGCTCTATGGTCAGCATTGTGCTCTATGGTCTCTATGTGGCTCCATGGTCGCCGCTGATGCTCTATGTCTATGTCTGTGTCTGTGTCTGTGTCTGTGTCTATGTCTATGTCTATGTCTATGTCTATGTCTATGTCTATGTCTGTGTCTATGTCTATGTCTATGTCTGTCTATGTCTATGTCTGTCTATGTCTATGTCTATGTCTATGTCTATGTCTATGTGTGTCTGTGTCTATTCTGTGTCTATGTCTATGTCTATGTCTATGTCTATGTCTATGTCATATGTCTATGTCTATGTCTATGTCTATGTGTGTCTATGTCTATGTCTATGTCTATGTCTATGTCTATGTCTATGTCTATGTCTATGTCTGTGTCTATGTCTATGTCTATGTCTATGTCTATGTCTATGTCTGTGTCTATGTCTATGTCTATGTGTGTCTGTGTCTATGTCTATGTCTATGTCTGTGTCTATGTCTATGTCTATGTCTATGTCTATGTCTGTGTCTGTGTCTGTGTCTCTTCCCTTCCCCCGTGCCCGGCCCCAACCTCCGTAGGCCTCGCTGCTGAACTCGTCCCAGGTGAGGGCCCGGTCCCGGTCCCGGTCGTGCTCCCTCAGGGCCCGCTCCGCGCTCCGGGCTCGGCTCCGCCGCCGGCCCCGCTCCATCCAGGAGCGCAGCTCCGGGGCGCTCAGCGCCGCGTCCCCGTCCGCGTCCACCCGCGGCAGGAGCAGCCTGCGGACGGCAGGGGGCGCTCCGGACACAGCCGGAAACACCCGAGACCCTCCGGACACACCCGAGACCCTCCATACCCCTCCGGAAACACCCGAGACCCTCCGGACACACCCGAGACCCTTCCGGACACACCCGAGACCCTCCGGAAACACCCGAGACCCTCCGGACACACCCGAGACCCTCCGGAAACACCCGAGACCCTCCGGAACACCCGAGACCCTCCGGACCCCTCCGGACACACCCGAGACCCTCCGGACACACCCGAGACCCTCCGGAAACACCCGAGACCCTCCGGACACACCCGAGACCCTCCGACCCCTCTGGAAACAACCGAACACCCTTCGGAACCACCCCATTGCTCCCCATTGCCCCCCATTGCCCCATTGCCCCCATTGCTCCCCATTGCCCCCATTAACCCCCATTGACCCCCACTGCCCCCATTACCCCCATTGCCCCCATGAACCCCATTACCCCACTGAACCCCATTGCCCCCGTTGCCCCCATTGACCCCCATTGCCCCATTGACCCCACTGAACGTCATTGAATCCCATTGCCCCATTGCCTCCCATTGCCCCATTGAACCCCACTGAACTTCATTGAATCCCATTGCCCCATTGCCCCCATTACCACCATTGCCCTCCATTACCCCCATTACCCCATTGAACCCCACTGCCCCCCATTAACCCCATTGCCCCCCATTACCCCCCATTGCCCCCATTAACCCCCATTGACCCCCATTACCCCCATTGCCCCCTTGAACCCCATTACCCACATTGAACTCCATTGAATCCCATTGCTCCCCATTATTCCCATTGCCCCATTGCACCCCATTGACCCCATTACCCCCATTGCCCCATTGCCTCCCATTGCCCCATTGCACCCCATTGACCCCATTACCCCCATTGCCCCATTGAACCCCATTACCCCCATCCCCCCCATTGCCCCCATTACCCCCCCCCCCCACTGCCCCCCATCCCCCCCCGCCCCATTGCCCCTCCCCCCTCACCGCAGCCTCCTCCTGCTCTCCTCGGGGCGGAGCCTCTCGAACTCCCGCGCCTCCTCCCCGCCCCCCAGGAACGCCTCGTGGTCGGGGCCGAAGCCGGTCACGTGATCGGGGTCGTGACCCAAGGAGGGGGGCGGGGGAGCCCCCCATGCTCCGCCCCCCCCGGCCCAGCAGCAGCAGCCACAGGCAAGGGACCCCCAGCAGCATCTGGGGGGAGATGGGGGACGATGGGGGGCAATGGGGGGCAATGGGGGTAATGGGGGCAATGGGGGTAATGGGGGTAATGGGGGTAATGGGGGCAATGGGGGTAATGGGGGTAATGGGGGCAATGGGGGTAATGGGGGGCAATGGGGGTAATGGGGGGCAATGGGGTTCAACGGGGCAATGGGGGTAATGGGGGCAATGGGGGCAATGGGGGTAATGGGGGTAATGGGGGCAATGGGGGTAATGGGGGCAATGGGGGCAATGGGATCCAATGAAGTTCAGTGGGGTTCAACGGGCAATGGGGGTCAATGGGGGTCAAAGGGGGTCAGTGGGGGGCAATGGGGTAATGGGGGCAATGGGGTAATGGGGGTCAATTGGGGTAATGGGGGTCAAGGGGGATCAGTGGGGGTCAATGGGGAGACACCCCCAATCCCTTTTAGCACCCCACAGACCCCCCCTTAGGACTCCATAGACCCCTTTAGACACCCCCAAACCCCTTTAGGACCCCATAGACCCCCTTTAGGACCCCATAGACCCCCATAGGACCCCATTGACCCCTTTAGGACCCCATAGACCCCCATAGGACCCCATAGACCCCCATAGGACCCCATAGACGCCCTTTAGGACCCCATAGACCCCCTTTAGGACCCCATAGACCCCCATAGACCCCCTTTAGGACCCCATAGACCCCCATAGGACCCCATAGACGCCCTTTAGGACCCCATAGACCCCCTTTAGGACCCCCATAGACCCCCATAGACCCCCTTTAGGACCCCATAGACCCCCATAGGACCCCATAGACCCCCTTTAGGACCCCATAGACCCCCATAGGACCCCACAGACCCCCATTAGGACCCCATAGACCCCCTTTAGGACCCCATACGACCCCATAGACCCCCATAGGACCCCATAGACCCCCTTTAGGACCCCATAGACCCCCATAGGACCCCCATAGACCCCCTTTAGGACCCCATAGACCCCCATAGACCCCCATAGGACCCCATAGACCCCCTTTAGGACCCCATAGGACCCCATAGACCCCCATAGGACCCCATAGACCCCCTTTAGGACCCCATAGGACCCCATAGACCCCCATAGGACCCCACAGACCCCCTTTAGGACCCCATAGGACCCCATAGACCCCCATAGGACCCCACAGGACCCCATCGACCCCCATAGGACCCCATAGACCCTCTTTAGGACCCCATAGACCCCCATAGGACCCCATAGACCCCCACAGACCCCCATAGAACCCCATAGACCCCCTTTAAGACCCCATAGACCCCCATAGGACCCCATAGACCCCCTTTAGGACCCCATAGACCCCCATAGGACCCCATAGACCCCATAGACCCCCTTTAGGACCCCATAGACCCCCATAGGACCCCATAGGACCCCATAGACCCCCATAGACCCCCATAGACCCCCTTTAGGACCCACCTCGCCCCGTCCCGCTTCGCCCCTTCGGGTGGTCTCCCCCGCGTCCGGCCTGTCCCCGCCCCTCCGCCGCCCTCTCCACCAATGAGGAGGCGCCGTGGCCACGTGGGCGGGCCAGCGCCGCGCTGCCATTGGCTGCCGCCCGCCACGTTGCTGCGGGAGGGAGCTGGACCGAAAAGAGCGGATTTTAACCCAAAGTTCGGGGGGGAAGGGACGGGCTGGGGTGGACTGGGGTATTATGGGATGCAATGGGATAGAGTGGGATATTATGGGATGCAATGGGATAGAGTGGGATATTATGGGATGCAATGGGATAGAGTGGGATATCATGGGATATAATGGGATAGAGTGGGATATTATGGGATATAATGGGATAGAGTGGGATATTATGGGATGCAATGGGATAGAGTGGGATATCATGGGATATAATGGGATAGAGTGGGATATTATGGATATAATGGGATAGAGTGGGCTCTAGTGGGGTACAATGGGATATTATGGGATATGATGGGATAGAGTGGGTTCCTAGCGGGGTACAATGGGATATTATGGGATATGATGGGATAGAGTGGGCTCTAGTGGGGTACAATGGGATATTATGGGATATAATGGGATAGCGTGGGCTCTAGCGGGGTACAATGGGATATTATGGGATATGATGGGATAGAGTGGGCTCTAGTGGGGTACAATGGGATATTATGGGATATGATGGGATAGAGTGGGCTCTAGCGGGTACAGTGGGATATTATGGGATATGATGGGGATAGAGTGGGTTCTAGCGGGGTACAATGGGATATTATGGGATATGATGGGATAGAGTGGGCTCTAGCGGGGTACAATGGGATATTATGGGATATGATGGGATAGAGTGGGCTCTAGCGGGGTACAATGGGATATTATGGGATATGATGGGATAGTGGGCTCTAGCGGGGTACAATGGGATATTATGGGATATAATGGGATAGAGTGGGCTCTAGCGGGGTACAATGGGATATTATGGGATATGATGGGATAGAGTGGGCTCTAGCAGGGTACAATGGGATATTATGGGATATGATGGGATAGAGTGGGCTCTAGTGGGGTACAATGGGATATTATGGGATATGATGGGATAGAGTGGGCTCTAGTGGGGTACAATGGGATATTAATGGGATATGATGGGATAGAGTGGGCTCTAGCGGGGCAATGGGATATTATGGGATATGATGGGATAGAGTGGGCTCTAGCGGGGTACAGTGGGGCGGTACAATAGATCATAGACATGGGGCCATAGATAAACAACCCCGTTACCCCGGCTGCCGAAGGCTGGGGTGAACCCCCCATGGGCCCCACAACTGCCCCAGGACCCCAATTCCCCCCCCAGGACCCACATTTGACCCTCATGACCCCAATTCCCCCCCATGACCCCAATTCCCCCCCCAGGACCCCACATTTGACCCTCATGACCCCAATTCCCCCCCATGACCCCAGTTCCCCCCATGACCCACATTTGCCCCCCCATGACCCCATTCCCCCCCATAACCCCCAATTCCCCCCCATGACCCCAATTCCCCCCCAGGACCCCCATTTGCCCCCCATAACCCCCAATTCCCCCCCATGACCCACATTTGCCCCCCCATGACCCCAATTCCCCCCATGACCCCCAATTCCCCCCCATGACCCACATTTGCCCCCCCATGACCCAATTTCCCCCCATAACCCCCCAATTGCCCCCCTTTGACCCCAATTTGCCCCCCCCATGACCCGCATTCTCCCCCCCCCATGAGCTGCACCCTGACCCCTGACCTTTGACCCTTGACCCCCCATAATAAACCCCCTCCCCCCCCGCTCTGGTATTGGTGGGGACGGGGTCCTCCGCGCCGGTAGGGGGCGCCCTGGGGTGGGGGCACCATTGGGGGAGGGGCTGGGGGGAGGGGGGAGGGGGAGGGGGGGGCTCCAGCCTCGTTCTGGCCTCACTTTCGCTTTCGGTGGCAGCTCCGGGGGGGCCCGGGTCCCCCCTCCCCCACCCCCTCCCCGGCTCTTCCCGACATGGACCCGGCCCCCCCCGGCCCCGCGCTGGTAAGAGGGGACCCCCCTGCCCCATGGAGCCCCACATGGACCCCCCCTGCCCCATGGAGCCCCACATGGACCCCAATGGACCCCCTGCCCCATGGAGCCCCACATGGACCCCCCTGCCCCATGGAGCCCCACATGGACCCCCCCTGCCCCATGGAGCCCCACATGGACCCCCCCTGCCCCATGGAGCCCCACATGGACCCCCCCTGCCCCATGGAGCCCCACATGGACCCCAATGGACCCCCCTGCCCCATGGAGCCCCACATGGACCCCCCCTGCCCCATGGAGCCCCACATGGACCCCCCCTGCCCCATGGAGCCCCACCATGGACCCCCCCTGCCCCATGGAGCCCCACATGGACCCCCCCTGCCCCATGGAGCCCCACATGGACCCCCCTGCCCCATGGAGCCCCACATGGACCCCCCCTGCCCCATGGAGCCCCACATGGAGCCCAATGGACCCCCCCTGCCCCATGGAGCCCCCACATGGACCCCCCCTGCCCCATGGAGCCCCACATGGACCCCCCTGCCCCATGGAGCCCCACATGGACCCCCCCTGCCCCATGGAGCCCACATGGACCCCCCCTGCCCCATGGAGCCCCACATGGAGCCCATGGACCCCCCTGCCCCATGGAGCCCCACATGGACCCCCCCTGCCCCATGGAGCCCCACATGGACCCCCCCTGCCCCATGGAGCCCCACATGGACCCCCCCTGCCCCATGGAGCCCACATGGACCCCAATGGACCCCCCCTGCCCCATGGAGCCCCACATGGACCCCAATGGACCCCCCTGCCCCATGGAGCCCCACATGGAGCCCAATGGACCCCCTGCCCCATGGAGCCCCACATGGACCCCCCATGCCCCATGGAGCCCCACATGGACCCCAATGGACCCCCCTGCCCCATGGAGCCCCCCATGCACCCCATTTCCCCCCCCAGGTGCTGTTGCTCTTGGCCGTGCCCCCCCCCCGGCGCCTGCTGCTCCTTCGAGTTCAACCCCGTGAGCAGCACGATCCGGGCCCACGTGGAGGCCGTGGTGAGAGCCCCCCATGGACCCCTATGGGACCCAGCCCCATAGAGCCCTAAGGGACCCAGCCCCATAGAGCCCTAAGGGACCCCCCCCATGGGACCCAGCCCCATAGAGCCCTAAGGGACCCCCCATGGGGGCCCAGCCCCATAGAGCCCTAAGGGACCCCCCATGGGACCCAGCCCCATAGACCCATAGGGGACCCCCCCTATAGACCCCTATGGGACCCCCATGGACCCCTAAGGGACCCCCCCCATAGACCCCTAGGGGACCCCTACCATGGGACCCCCCCTATGGACTCCTATGGGACCCCCACCATGGGACCCCCCCCTATAGACTCCTATGGGACCCCCACCATGGGACCCCCACTATAGACCCTATGGGACCCCCCCATGGGACCCCCCCCCCATAGACCCCTATGGAACCCCCCCTATAGACTCCTATGGGACCCCCACCATGAGATCCCCCCATAGACTCCTATGGGACCCCCACCATGAGATCCCCCCATAGACCCTATGGGACCCCCCCCCAATAGACCCCTATGGGACCCCCCCCATAGACCCCTATGGGATCCCCTCCCATTGACCCCTATAGACCCCCCCATGGACCCCTATGGGACCCCCCCATAGACCCCTATGGGACCCGTGCCCCCCATGGGGCTTCACCTTGCCCCCCCCAGACCCCATGGCTGCTCCTGGATTACACCGTGCCGATGCCGGAGAACCTGGAGCCGGTGAGAGCCCCCCCATTGCCCCATTGAAGCGTTGCCCCATTAACACCGTTCCCCCATCCCCCCCCATTCGCAAGGTCTCTTTCCCCCCGTTTTGCCCCCCCCACCCTCCCATCCCCCCCTTTCTCCCTATTTCCCCCCTCCCCCCCCCCCCCATCCCCCCCTTATTTACCCCCCATCCCCCCGATTTACCCCTCCCTTTACCCCCCATCCCCCCTTATCTCCCCCATCCCCTCCATTTACCCCCCTTTACCCCCATATATCCCCCCATTTACCCCCCAATTTACCACCCCATTTACCCTCCATATCTTCCCCCATTGACCCCCATATCCCCATTTACTCCCCAATTATTCCCCCATCCCCCCATTTACCCCCCCATCCCCCCATTTATTCCCCCCCATTCCCATCCCCCCCATTTACCCCTCCATTTACCCCCCTTTACCCCCATCCCCCCCATTTACCCCCCCATCCCCCATCTCCCCCCATTCCCATTTCCCCCCATCCCCCATATACCCCCCATTTACCCCTCATTCCCCCCATTTACCCCATTTATTCCCCCATCCCCCCATATACCCCCCATTTACCCCCATATACCCCCCCATTCCCCTCCATTTACCCCCCAATCTCCCCGCCATCCCCCCCATTCCATCCCCATCTACCTCCCCATTCCCACCCCCCCATCCCCCCCCATTTACCCCCCATTCCCATCCCCATTTACCCCCCCATATCTCCCCCCATATCTCCCCCCATATCTCCCCCATATCCCCCCATATCTCCCCCATCCCCCCCATATCCCCCCCATATCCCCCCCATATCTCCCCCCATATCCCCCCCATATCCCCCCCATCCTCCCCCATATCTCCCCTATATCTCCCCCCATCTCCCCCCACCCCCCAGCTCTCCCCCTGCTCCCCCCTCTGGTCCCTCCGTTTCTCCCTCCAGGCTCTCCTGGCCTTGGCCTCCCGGGCGGGGGGGGCGCTGTCCCCGCGGCTCCGCGCCCTGGCCGCGCAGCTGCACTTCCTCAGCCGCTGCCCAATCAGCGTGAGCGGGGCGGGGCCATGCGGGCGCTATGGGGCGCTATGGGGATCTATGGGGTGCTATGGGGCGCTATGGGGATCTATGGGCTCTATGGGGCTCTATGGGGCGCTATGGGGATCTATGGGGTGCTATGGGGCGCTATGGGGATCTGTGGGCTCTATGGGGTCTCTATGGGTTCTAGGGGGATCTATGGGCTCTATGGGTTCTATGGGGCGCTATGGGGATCTATGGGCTCTATGGGTTCTATGGGGCGCTATGGGGATCTATGGGCTCTATGGGGTCTCTATGGGTTCTAGGGGGATCTATGGGCTCTATGGGTTCTATGGGGCGCTATGGGGATCTATGGGCTCTATGGGTTCTATGGGGCGCTATGGGGATCTATGGGGTGCTATGGGGCGCTATGGGGATCTGTGGGCTCTATGGGGTCTCTATGGGTTCTAGGGGGATCTATGGGCTCTATGGGTTCTATGGGGCGCTATGGGGATCTATGGGCTCTATGGGTTCTATGGGGCGCTATGGGGATCTATGGGCTCTATGGGGTCTCTATGGGTTCTAGGGGGATCTATGGGCTCTATGGGTTCTATGGGGCGCTATGGGGATCTATGGGCTCTATGGGTTCTATGGGGCGCTATGGGGATCTATGGGCTCTATGGGGCGCTATGGGGATCTATGGGCTCTATGGGGTCTCTATGGGTTCTAGGGGGATCTATGGGCTCTATGGGTTCTATGGGGCGCTATGGGGATCTATGGGCTCTATGGGTTCTATGGGGCGCTATGGGGATCTATGGGCTCTATGGGGCGCTATGGGGATCTATGGGCTCTATGGGGTCTCTATGGGGTTTCTATTGGGCTCTATGCGGTTTCTATTGGACTCTATGGGGTCTCTATGGGCTCAATGGGGCTTTATGGGCTCTATGGGTCACTATGGTCTCTAAGGATCTCTATGGGCTCTATGGGTCTCTATGGGCTCTATGGGTCACTATGGTCTCTAAGGAACTCTATGGGGCTCTATGGGGCTCTATGGGCTCTGTGGGGCTCTATAGGTCCCACTGAGCCCCCCATTGCCCCCAGGACCCCCAGGGCTGCGCTCGCCTGCGCCCCATGAACGTCTCCCAGCTCCTGGGGGCGCTGGAGCTGCAGCTGGGGGGGCTGCGGGAGCGCCCCCCCCCGCCCCACACCTGCACCCGCCTGCGCTGCACCAAGGGTACCGGCCCTATAGGGACCCCCCCAGGGAACCCCCCATAGTGACCCCCCTATAGGAACCCCAATGAGGAACCCCCCATAATGACCCCAATACGGACCCCCCATAGTGACCCCAATGGGGACCCCCCTAGGGACCCCCCAATGGGGACCCCCCCCATAGTCACCCCCCCATAGTAACCCCAGATGTGACCCCCCCATGGGACCCCCATTCACCCCCCCCTTTTTCCCCCTGCAGACCCCCCAGTGTCACCCCCCCCCACGGCCTCGCACGGGGTCTCCCCCCCCGCCCCCCACGGGCTCGTGCTATGGGGGGCACTGGGGGGGGCCCTGGTGCTGAGCGCGGTCGTGTGGGGCCTGAGCATGAGGAGGAGGAAGGGGGGGGGCAGCGAGTGCAGGTGGGGCAATGGGGCAATATGGGGGGCAATGGGGCAGGGGGGCAATGGGGGTAATGGGGGCAATGGGGCGGGGGGGGCAATGGGGTAGTGGGGGCAATGGGGGGCAATGATGGTTATGGGGCAATGGGAGGGTAATGGGGGCAATGGGGTAATTGGGGGCAATGGGGGTAATTGGGGGGCAATGGGGGGGTCACTGGATGGACACAGGTAAAGGGGGGCACATGGGGGGGGCCTGGGGGGTCCTGACTTCCCCCCCACCTCCTCCCCATTTAGGCCGACCCAGGAGCCATGTGACCCCCCCTCGGCCCCCCCATAGCCCATGGGGGGGGTTTGGGGGGGCCCTCAGAGACTCGGGCCCCCCCCCAATAAAGGTGATGGTGGGAGCCTGAGTGTGTGTGGGGGGGGGGGGGGTATTGAACCCCCTTAATGGGGGGGCACAGAGCAACGCGGCTTTATTGGGGGTCATGGGGGGCAATGGGGAGGGGGTTCATGGGTGAATGGGGGGGCTATGGGGGGTAAAAGGGGGGTTATAGGGGGTAAATGGGGGGTGAATGGGGGGTTATGGGAGGTAAAAGGGGGGTTATGGGGGTAAATGGGCAGCTATGGGGTGTAAACAGGGGGCTATGGGGTGGTTATGGGGGTAAATGGGGGTAAATGGGCAGCTATGGGGTGTAAACAGGGCTACGGGGTGGTTATGGGGGGTTATGGGGGTAAATGGGCAGCTATGGGGTGTAAACGGGGCTATGGGGTGGTTATGGGGTGGTTATGGGGTAAATGGGCAGCTATGGGGTGTAAACGGGGCTATGGGGTGGTTATGGGGGTAAATGGGCAGCTATGGGGTGGTTATGGGGTGAATGGGCAGCTATGGGGTGGTTATGGGGGGTTATGGGGTGGTTATGGGGTAAATGGGCAGCTATGGGGTGTAAACAGGGCTATGGGGTGGTTATGGGGTGGTTATGGGGTAAATGGGCAGCTATGGGGTGTAAACAGGGCTATGGGGTGGTTATGGGGTGGTTATGGGGTAAATGGGCAGCTATGGGGTGTAAACGGGGCTATGGGGTGGTTATGGGGTGGTTATGGGGTAAATGGGCAGCTATGGGGTGTAAACGGGGCTATGGGGTGGTTATGGGGTGGTTATGGGGTAAATGGGCAGCTATGGGGTGTAAACGGGGCTATGGGGTGGTTATGGGGGGTTATGGGGGTGAATGGGCAGCTATGGGGTGTAAACAGGGGGCTATGGGGTGGTTATGGGGGTAAATGGGCAGCTATGGGGTGTAAACGGGGCTATGGGGTGGTTATGGGGGGTTATGGGGGTGAATGGGCAGCTATGGGGTGTAAACGGGGCTATGGGGTGGTTATGGGGGGGTCACACGGGGGGGGCTCTGTGGTGCCGCAGCTGCAGGCCCGGGGCCGGCCCCTCCCACAGCAGCAGCAGCCCCAGCACCAGGACCCAGCCCAGCACTGGGAGCACTGGGAGCACTGGGAGCTCCAGCACTGGGGGCACTGGGAGCACTGGGAGCACTGGGAGCTCCAGCACTGGGGGCACTGGGGGCACTGGGAGCTCCAGCACTGGGGGCACTGGGGGCACTGGGGGCACTGGGAGCTCCGGCACTGGGAGCACTGGGGGCACTGGGGGCAGCGCCAGCAGCAGGGCCACTGGGGGCACTGGGGTTGTTACTGGTGGTACTGGTGGCACTGGTGGTACTGGTATTGCCATCGCTGTCACTGGTGGTACTGGTGTCACTGGTGGTCCTGGTGTTGTTACTGGTGTCACTGGTGGTCCTGGTGTCACTGGTGGTAGTGGTGGTCCTGGTGTCACTGGTGGTAGTGGTGGTCCTGGTGTCACTGGTGGTCCTGGAGTCACTGGTGGTAGTGGTGGTACTGGTGTCACTGGTGTCACTGGTGGTACTGGTGTCACTGGTGTCACTGGTGGTCCTGGTGTCACTGGTGGTAGTGGTGGTCCTGGTGTCACTGGTGGTAGTGGTGGTCCTGGTGTCACTGGTGTCACTGGTGGTCCTGGAGTCACTGGTGGTAGTGGTGGTACTGGTGTCACTGGTGTCACTGGTGGTCCTGGAGTCACTGGTGGTAGTGGTGGTCCTGGTGTCACTGGTGTCATTGGTGGTCCTGGTGTCACTGGTGTCACTGGTGGTCCTGGAGTCACTGGTGGTAGTGGTGGTCCTGGTGTCACTGGTGTCACTGGTGGTCCTGGTGTCACTGGTGTCACTGGTGGTCCTGGAGTCACTGGTGGTAGTGGTGGTCCTGGTGTCACTGGTGTCACTGGTGGTCCTGGTGTCACTGGTGGTAGTGGTGGTCCTGGTGTCACTGGTGTCACTGGTGGTCCTGGTGTCACTGGTGTCACTGGTGGTCCTGGTGTCACTGGTGGTCCTGGTGTCACTGGTGTCACTGGTGGTCCTGGTGTCACTGGTGGTACTGGTGGTACTGGTGTCACTGGTGGTCCTGGTGTCACTGGTGGTACTGGTGTCACTGGTGTCACTGGTGGTCCTGGTGTCACTGGTGGTACTGGTGTCACTGGTGTCACTGGTGGTCCTGGTGTCACTGGTGCCCTACGGGTGCAGGCCATGAGCAGCACTGGGAGCAGTGGGGCCGGCGGCCTCCTGGCCCCATCCCTACCTGGTGCTGGCCTCCGGGGGGGTCCTCACCTGGGCCTCATCCTGCCGGGGCTCAGCCCCCTCCTGGGGGGCACCAGGGTCAGGTCCATGGGGGTCACCCCATTGATGCCCCCCCACTGATGTCCCCCCCATTGGGGTCCCCCCATTGGGATCCCTCCATTGGGGTCACCCCATTGATGCCCCCCCCCCCCATTGATGCCCCCCCCTATTGATGCCCCCCCATTGATGTCCCCCATTGGGGTGCCCTGACCCTTACCTGCCCCATGGGGGTGTCACCAAGGGAGCCCCAGCGCTGCCTGTAAGGGGGGGGGGGGGGGCGGGGAGAGGAATGAGGGGCACCCATGGGTGCTGCTGGCACCAGTGCAGGACCAGTTAGAGCCAGTCAGCAGTGGGGTCCCATTACCCCCATTGCCCCCTATTACCCCCATTTCCCCCATCACCCCCCTTGCCCCCATTCCCCCCATTCCCCCATCTCCCCCATCACCCCCATCGCCCCCATTGCCCCCATTCCCCCCATTACCCCATTGCCCCCATCACCCCCCTTGCCCCCATTCCCCCCATTGCCCCCATTACCCCATTGCCCCCATCACCCCCATTACCCCATTGCCCCCATTCCCCCCATCACCCCCATTGCCCCCATTCCCCCCATCATCCCCATTACTCCCAATACCCCATTGCCCCCCATCTCTCACAGGCCCCAGGTCTCCTGGAGCTGGTTCAACTGGTGCTGGAGCTGTGCTGCCTCCAACCGCTGCTCCTGGGGGGGGGGGGAAACACAGGGTTGGGGGTCCCCATTGCCCCATAGCGCCCCATAGCCCCCCATAGCCCCCCATTGCCCCCCATAGCCCCCATACCCTCACTGCTGTCTCGTACTCCTCCAGCGCTGTCGTCAGCTCAGCCACCCTCTGCCCAGCCTATGGAGCCATTGGGTGCCCATGGGGGGGCTGACCCCATTGGGTGCCCATGGGGGGGGTGGGACCCCATTGGGTGCCTATGGGGGGGGCTGACCCCATTGGGTGCCCATGGGGGGGGTTCAGACCCCATTGGGTGCCCATGGGGGGGGACTGACCCCATTGGGTGCCCATGGGGGGTTGGGACCCCATTGGGTGCCCATGGGGGGGGTTCAGACCCCATTGGGTGCCCATGGGGGAGGTGGGACCCCATTGGGTGCCCATGGGGGGGTTGGGACCCCATTGGGTGCCCCTCACCTGGGCTGCGGTGGCCTCGTGGCTGAGCAGGAGCTCGGAGCAGCGGCAGAGCTGGGCCTGGCAGGGGGCAGAGGCTGCGCTGGTGGCACCGGGGGGGGGCCATGGGGGGGGCCATGGGGGGCCATGGGGGGGCCTCACCTCCAGCAGCGTCACCGCAGGCACCAGTGCCTGCAGCCAGGCCCGAAGCTCCTGCCCCTCGGTGTGCAGGTGCTGGGTCTGGGGGGGAATCAGTGGGGCATCAGTATCAATGGGGCACCAATGGGGGTATCAATGGGGCATCAGTATCAATGGGGCACCAATGGGGGCATCAATGGGGTATCAGTATCAATGGGGCACCAATGGGGCATCAATGGGGCATCAGTATCAATGGGGCATCAGTATCAATGGGGCACCAATGGGGGCATCAATGGGGTATCAGTATCAATGGGGACATCAATGGGGCACCAATGGGGGCATCAATGGGGCATCAGTATCAATGGGGCACCAATGGGGGCATCAATGGAGTATCAGTATCAATGGGGACATCAATGGGGCATCAATGGGGGTATCAATGGGGCATCAGTATCAATGGGGCATCAATGGGGGCATCAATGGGGCATCAGTATCAATGGGGACATCAATGGGGCATCAATGGGGACATCAATGGGGGTATCAATGGGGCATCAATGGGGCATCAATGGGGACATCAATGGGGGACACAGTGGGTACCGGCGTCACCATGGCGGTACCGGTGTCACTATGGGGTTACCGGTGTCACCATGGCGGTACCGGTGTCACCATGGGGGGTACCGGTGTCACCATGTCGGTACCGGTGTCACCATCGGGGGGTACCGGTGTCACCATGACAGTACCGGTGTCACCATGGGTGGGTACCGGTGTCACCATGGGGGGTACCGGTGTCACCATGGCGGTACTGGTGTCACCATCGGGGGGTACCGGTGTCACCATGGCGGTACTGGTGTCACCATCGGGGGGTACCGGTGTCACCATGGCGGTACCAGTGTCACCATGGGGGTACCGGTGTCACCATCAGGGGGTACCAGTGCCACCATGGGGGTACCGGTGTCACCATGGGTGGGTACCGGTGTCACCATGGGGGTACTGGTGTCACCATCGGGGGGTACCGGTGTCACCATGGCAGTACCGGTGTCACCATGGGGGGTACCGGTGTCACCATGGCGGTACCGGTGTCACTATGGGGGTACCGGTGTCACCATGGGGGGTACCGGTGTCACCATGGCGGTACTGGCGTCACCATCGGGGGGTACCGGTGTCACCATGGCAGTACCGGTGTCACCATGGGTGGGTACCGGTGTCACCATGGGGGGTATCGGTGTCACCATCGGGGGGTACCGGTGTCACCATGGCAGTACCGGTGTCACCATGGGGGGGAGTACCAGTGTCACCATGGCAGTACCGGTGTCACCATGGGGGGTATCGGTGTCACCATGGCAACGGCCTCACCTCCTCCTGCAGCCCATCAGCGTGCGAGCGGAGGCTGCTCTGCTCCTTCTCCTGCACCAAAGGGGACATTGGGGGGGAGGGTGTTCATGGGTGCCCCCATGGGTGCTGCTGCCCCCAATGGGTGCCCCCCCCCCCCCCAGCACCCACCAGGGCCCTCATCCTGCGCCGCAGCTCCAGGTTCTGCTCCTCCAGCCCCTTCACCACAGCCTTGGTGTCCTCCAGCTCCTCGGTGGCCGCACGCGCCCGCTCCAGCGCCTGCTGGGTGCTGCGGGGCAAAGAGGGGCTCAGCACCAATGGGTGCCCATCACTATGGGGTGCTCATCACCAATGGGTGCCCATCACCAGTGGGTGCCCATCACCAATGGGTGCTCTTCACCAATGGGTGCCCATCACCAATGGGTGCTCATCACCATGGGGTGCTCAGCACCAATGGGTGCCCATCACCAATGGGTGCCCATCACCATGGGGTGCTCAGCACCAATGGGTGCCCATCACCAGTGGGTGCCCATCCCCAATGGGTTATTATGGGATGCCCGTCCCCAGTGGGTTATTATGGGATGCCGGTCCCCAATGGGTTATTATGGGATGGCCGTTCCCAACGGGCTATTATGGGATGCCGGTCCCCAATGGGCTATTATGGGATGCCCGTCCCCAGTGGGTTATTATGGGATGCCGGTCCCCAATGGGTTATTATGGGATGGCCGTTCCCAATGGGCTATTATGGGATGCCGGTCCCCAATGGGCTATTATGGGATGCCCGTCCCCAATGGGTTATTATGGGCTGCCCGTCCCCAATGGGCTATTATGGGATGCCGGTCCCCAATGGGCTATTATGGGATGCCCGTCCCCAATGGGCTATTATGGGATGCCCGTCCCCAATGGGCTATTATGGGATGCCCGTCCCCAATGGGCTATTATGGGATGCCCGTCCCCAATGGGCTATTATGGGATGTCGCGGCGCTCACCTGCGGAGCTGCCCCCGCAGTTCCTGGAGCTCCTCCCCCAGGCGCGAGTTCTGCTCCTCGCTGGCCTCGGCCTCGCGCTGCAGCCGCCGGTTGTGGGTGGCCAAGAGCTGGGCACGGGACAGGAGCTGCAGCGGCTCCGGGCTGGGGGGAGCCCTGGGGTCAGGATGGGAGCCATGGGGTGGGGATGGGAGCCATGGGGTGGGGATGGGAGCCATGGGGTGGAGATGGGAGCCATGGGGTGGGGATGGGAGCCATGGGGTGGAGATGGGAGCCATGGGGTCAGGATGGGAGCCATGGGGTCAGGATGGGAGCCATGGGGTCGGGATGGGAGCCATGGGGTGGGGATGGGAGCCATGGGGTGGAGATGGGAGCCATGGGGTGGGGATGGGAGCCATGGGGTGGGGATGGGAGCCATGGGGTGGGGATGGGAGCCATGGGGTGGAGATGGGAGCCATGGGGTGGAGATGGGAGCCATGGGGTGGAGATGGGAGCCATGGGGTGGGGATGGGAGCCATGGGGTCGGGATGGGAGCCATGGGGTCGGGATGGGAGCCATGGGGTCGGGATGGGAGCCATGGGGTCAGGATGGGAGCCACGGGGTGGGGATGGGAGCCATGGGGTGGGGATGGGAGCCATGGGGTGGAGATGGGAGCCATGGGGTGGGGATGGGAGCCATGGGGTGGAGATGGGAGCCATGGGGTCGGGATGGGAGCCCTGAGGTCGGGATGGGAGCCATGGGGTGGGGATGGGAGCCATGGGGTCGGGATGGGAGCCATGGGGTGGAGATGGGAGCCATGGGATGGGAGCCCTGGTGTCAGGATGGGAGCCATGGGGTGGGGATGGGAGCCATGGGGTCAGGATGGGAGCCATGGGGTGGGGATGGGCTCCATGGGCTCTATGGGGCGGGGATGGGCTCCATGGGGTGGGGATGGGCTCCATGGGCTCTATGGGGTGGGGACGGGCTCCATGGGGTGTGGATGGGCTCCATGGGCTCTATGGGGTGGGGATGGGCTCCATGGGGTGTGGATGGGCTCCATGGGGCGGGGATGGGCTCTATGGGGCGGGGATGGGCTCCATGGGCGCTATGGGGCGGGGATGGGCTCTATGGGGCGGGGATGGGCTCCATGGGCTCCATGGGCTCTATGGGGTGGGGATGGGCTCCATGGGCTCTATGGAGCAGGGATGGGCTCCATGGGCGCTATGGGGCGGGGATGGGCTCTATGGGGCGGGGATGGGCTCCATGGGCTCTATGGGGCGGGGATGGGCTCCATGGGTGCATCCCGGGCTCACCCCGGCGCTGCCCCATGCTCAGGCTCCGGCTCCGCGGGCTCTTCCTCGGCTGCTGGAGATGGGAGCGGGGTGGGGGTGTCAGGGGGGGCAGGGATGGGAGCCCCCCCCCGACCCCCATGGGGCAGCCCCATGGGGCTCCCCACACCCACCTGGGGCGAGGTCACCGGCGGCCGCTTCCGGCTCCTCCCCAAACCAGGAGCCCCTGGGAGCAGGGGATGGGGGGGGTGTGGGGCGGTGGGGTTCAAGGCCACTCTATGGGGTCTTTGTGGGTTGCTATGGGGTGTCCCTATGGGTCCCTGTGCCACTGTGAGGTGTCAATGGGTCACTATGGGGTGTGTCTTTACGGGTCTCCGTGTCTCTATGGGTTGCTGTGGGTCACTGTGGGGTTGCTATGGGTCTCTATGGAGTGGCATTGGGTTGCTAGGGGTCTCTATGGAGTGTCTTTGGGTTGCTAGGGGTCTCTGTGGGGTTGCTATGGGTCTCTATGGGTGGCTATGGGGTTTCAATGGGTCTCTATGTGCCACTATGGGTTGTCAATGGGTTGCTAGGGTGTCACTATGGGGTTTCTATGGGGTGTGAATGGGCTCTGTGTCTCTGTGGGGTTTCAGTGGGTCTTTGTGGGTCCCTATGGGTCGCTATGGGGTGTCAATGTGTCCCTATGGAGTTTCAATGGGTCTGTGTGGGTCTTTATGTGGTTTCAATGTGTCTTTATGGGTCACTGTGTGTTGCTATGGGGGTCTCCGTGCATCTCTATGGGGTGTCTATGGGTCTCCATAGGGTTTCAATGTGTCTCTATGGGTCGCAATGTCCTCTATGGGTCCAATGTACCCAATGGGTCCCAATGTCCCCTATGGGTCCCTATGTGCCCCTATGGGTCCCAATGTCCCCCATGTCTCCCAATGGGTCCAAATGTCTCTCTATGGGTCCCAATGCCCCCTATGGGTCCCAATGTCTCCCTATGGATCCCAATGTCCCCTATGGGTCCCTATGTGTCCCTATGGGTCCCAATGTCTCCCTATGGGTCCCAATGTCTCTCTATCGGTCCCAATATCCCCTATGGGTCCCAATGTCTCCCTATGGATCCCAATGCCCCTATGGGTCCCAATGTCTCCCTATGGATCCCAATGCCCCTATGTGTCCCTATGTGTCCCTATGGGTCCCAATGTCCCCTATGTGTCCCTATGTGTCCCAATGTCCCCTATGTCTCCCAATGTCCCCCATGCCTCCCTATGGGTCTCTATGGGTCCCCATGTCTCCCTATGGGTCTCTATGGGTCCCCATGTCCCTCTATGGGTCCCCATGTCTCCCTATGGGTCCCAATGTCCCCCATGTCTCCCCATGTCTCCCTATGGGTCTCTATGGGTCCCCATGTCCCTCTATGGGTCCCCATGTCTCCCTATGGGTCCCAATGTCCCCCATGTCTCCCCATGTCTCCCTATGGGTCCCAATGTCTCTCTATGGGTCTCTATGGGTCCCCATGTCTCCCTATGGGTCCCAATGTCTCTCTATGGGTCCCTATGGGTCCCCATGTCTCCCTATGGGTCCCCATGTCTCTCTATGGGTCTCTATGGGTCCCATGTCTCCCTATGGGTCCCTATGTGTCCCAATGTCTCTCTATGGGTCCCCATGTCTCTCTATGTCTCTTTATGGGTCCCCATGTCTCTCTATGTGTCCCAATGTCTATGGGTCCCCATGTCTCTCTATGGGTCCCCATGTCTATGGGTCCCCATGTCTCCCTATGGGTCTCTATGGGTCCCCATGTCTCTCTATGGGTCCCTATGGATCCCCATGTCCCCCTATGGGTCCCCATGTCTCCCAATGTCTCTCTATGGGTCCCAATGTCTCCCTATGGGTCCCTATGGGTCCCCATGTCTCTCTATGTGTCCCAATGTCCCCCATGTCTCCCTATGGGTCCCTATGTGTCCCAATGTCTCTTTATGGGTCCCCATGTCTCTCTATGTCTCTCTATGGGTCCCCATGTCTATGTGTCCCAATGTCTCTCTATGGGTCCCCATGTCTCTCTATGGGTCCCAATGTCTCTCTATGGGTCCCCATGTCTCTCTATGGGTCCCAATGCCCCCTATGGGTCCCAATGTCTCCCTATGGATCCCAATGTCCCCTATGGGTCCCGATGTCTCCCTATGGGTCCCAATGTCTCTCTATCGGTCCCAATGTCCCCTATGGGTCCCAATGTCTCCCTATGGATCCCAATGCCCCTATGTGTCCCTATGGGTCCCAATGTCTCCCTATGGGTCCCAATGTCCCCTATGTGTCCCTATGTGTCCCAATGTCCCCTATGCCTCCCAATGTCCCCCATGCCTCCCTATGGGTCTCTATGGGTCCCCATGTCTCCCTATGGGTCTCTATGGGTCCCCATGTCCCTCTATGGGTCCCCATGTCTCCCTATGGGTCCCAATGTCCCCCATGTCTCCCCATGTCTCCCTATGGGTCCCAATGTCTCTCTATGGGTCTCTATGGGTCCCCATGTCTCCCTATGGGTCCCAATGTCTCTCTATGGGTCCCTATGGGTCCCCATGTCTCCCTATAGGTCTCTATGGGTCCCCATGTCTCTCTATGGGTCCCTATGGATCCCCATGTCCCCCTATGGGTCCCCATGTCTCCCAATGTCTCTCTATGGGTCCCAATGTCTCCCTATGGGTCCCTATGGGTCCCCATGTCTCTGTGTCCCAATGTCCCCCATGTCTCCCTATGGGTCCCTATGTGTCCCAATGTCTCTCTATGGGTCCCCATGTCTCCCTATGGGTCTCTATGGGTCCCCATGTCTCCCTATGGGTCTCTATGGGTCCCCATGTCTCTCTATGGGTCCCCATGTCTCCCTATGGGTCCCCATGTCTCTCTATGGGTCTCTATGGGTCCCCATGTCTCCCTATGGGTCCCCATGTCTCCCTATGGGTCTCTATGGGTCCCCATGTCTCCCAATGTCTCTCTATGGGTCCCCATGTCTCCCTACGGGTCCCTATGGGTCCCCATGTCTCTCTATGTGTCCCAATGTCTCTCTATGGGTCCCCATGTCTCCCTATGTGTCCCAATGTCTCTCTATGTGTCCCATTGTCTCTCTATGGGTCCCCATGTCTCTCTATGTGTCCCCATGTCTCTCCATGTGTCCCAATGTCTCTCTATGGGTCCCCATGTCTCCCTATGGGTCCCCCCTCTCACCGACCTGCGGCACTCCCGCACCCACCGCCCCATGACGCTGTGGAACGCGCCCCGCTCCAGCCCGGCGTCACTTCCGCTTCCGGTGGTTCCGGTTCCGGTTCCGGCCGCCTCCAGCATGGCCCCGAGCGCGCGGAGCCGCCCCTCCCCCGCGCTGCGCCCGGTCACGGCCGCCACGAACTGGAGGACCCGGGCGGCGGGAACGCGGCCTGCCGGCAGGGGGCGCCCATGGGCACGCTGCGGGCGCGCTATGGGATCTGTGGGGACCTATGGGGGCTCTATGGGATCTATGGGGCTCTATGGGGGCTCTATGGGATCTATGGGGGCTCTATGGGGCGCTATGGGGACGCTGCGGGCGCTCTATGGGCGCTATGGGGCTCTATGGGATCTATGGGGGCTCTATGGGGCGCTATGGGGACGCTGCGGGGGCTCTATGGGCTCTATGGGCTCTATGGGATCTATGGGGTGCTATGGGGCTCTATGGGGGCTCTATGGGATCTCTGGGGGCTCTATGGGGCGCTATGGGGACGCTGCGGGCGCTCTATGGGCTCTATGGGGCTCTATGGGGGTATATGGGGGCATATGGGGGCTCTATGGTTTCTATGGCCTCTATGGGGCTCTGTGGGGGCTCTATGGATCCCTATGGGGTCTCTGTATATTTCTATGGGTCTCTATGGGGTCTTTGTGTATCTGAGTCCCTCTGTATCTCTGTGGGTCCCTATGGGTCCCTTTGGGGTCTCTATGGGTCCCTATGCATCCCCATGTGTCCCTATGCATACCTATGGGTCCCTATGGGTCTCTGTGGGGTCTCTATGTATCCCTATGGGTCCCTCTGGGTCCTTATGTATCCCTATGGCGTCCCTATGTCTCCCTATGTATCCCTATGGGTCCGAATGGCTCCCTATGGGTCCCTGTGTATCCCTATGGGTCTCTATGTATCTCTATGGGTTCCTATGTCTCTCTGTGCGTCCCTACGGGTCTCTATGGGTCCCTATGGGTCCCTTTAGGGTCCCTATGTATCCCTATGGGGTTTCTATGTATTTATATGGGTCCCTGTGGGTCCCTATGGGTCTCTATGGGTCCCTATGTATTTATATGGGTCTCTATGGGTCCCTATGTATCCCTATGGGGTTTCTATGTATTTATATGGGTCCCTGTGGGTCCCTATGGGTCTCTATGGGTCCCTATGTATCCCTATGGGGTTTCTGTGTATTTATATGGGTCTCTATGGGGTCCCTTTGGGGTCTCTATGGGTCCCGATGTATCCCTATGGGGTTTCTATGTATTTATATGGGTCCCTATGGGTCTCTATGGGTCCCTTTGGGGTCTCTATGGGGTTTCTGTGGATTTATATGGGTCCCTATGGGGTCCCTTTGGGGTCTCTATGGGTCCCGATGTATCCCTATGGGGTTTCTGTGTATTTATATGGGCCCCTACGGGTCTCTATGGGTCCGTTTGGGGTCTCTTTGGGGTTTCTATGTCTCTCTATGGGTCCCTATGGCTCCCTATGGGGTCCCTATGTATCCCTATGGGGTTTCTATGGATTTATATGGGTCCCTACGGGTCTCTATGGGTCCCTTTGGGGTTCTGTGGGGTTTCTATGGATTTATATGGGTCCCCATGGGGTCCCGATGTCTCTCTATGGGTCCCTATGGCTCCCTATGGGGTCCCTATGTATCCCTATGCGGTTTCTATGGATTTATATGGGTCCCTATGGGGTCCCGATGTCTCTCTATGGGTCCCTATGGCTCCCTATGGGATCCCTATGGGGTTTCTATGGATTTATATGGCTCCCTATGGGGTCCCGATGTCTCTCTATGGGTCCCTATGGCTCCCTATGGGGTCCCTATGTATCCCTATGTCTCTCTATGGGTCCCTATGGCTCCCTATGGGGTCCCGATGTCTCTCTATGGGTCCCTCCCGCCCCCCGTCCCCCCCCGTACCCGTTCCGTGGGGGTCGCACGCCTCAAACGTTCTCTCGATCACGAATTCCAGCCCGGCCCCGCCCCCCCCCTCCCCCGCTGCCCCCGCGCGGGGCCGGGACCGGGACCGGGACCGGGGGGAGGGGGGGGGCGGCTCCGCCATTGCGGAGAGCGGAGAGCGGAGAGGGGCGGGGCCGGGAGAGAGGCGGTCCCGCCTGCAGGGGATGGGCCAATCACAGACCGGGAGCTGAAGGGAGGGGAGGGGCTCAGCGCCGGGCGTTCCCGCCGAAAGGGGGAGCGACCAATCAGAGCTCGGGGGGGCGTGGCCAAGAGGGAGTCCTGAGGAGAAAGGGGCGGGGCTCAGCGCGAGCCGTTCCCGCCGGAAGGGGGAGCGACCAATCACTGCTCGGGGGGGCGTGGCCAAGAGGGAGTCCTGAGGAGAAAGGGGAGGGGCTCAGCGCGAGCCGTTCCCGCCCGAGAGGGGCTGAGCCAATCACAGCCCTCGGGGGCGTGGCCAAGAGGGAGTCCTGAGGAGAAAGGGGCGTGGCTGAGCGCGAGCCGTTCCCGCCCGAGTGGGGAGAGACCAATCACAGCCGGGCGGAGGCGTGGCCAGGTAGGAGCCCTGAGGGGAAAGGGGCGGGGCTGAGCAGGAGACGTTCCCGCCTCAGGGGCTGGTCCAATCGCAGTCCGGGGAGGCGTGGCCAAGAGGGAGTCCTGAGGGGAAAGGGGCGGGGCTGAGCGCGAGACGTTCCCGCCTCAGGGGCTGGTCCAATCACAGCCCGGGGGGCGTGGCCATGAAGGAGTCCTGAGGAGAAAGGGGCGGTGCCACGCGCGTGCGGTTCCCGCCCGAGTGGGGAGCGACCAATCACAGCCTGGGGGGCGTGGCCAGGTAGGAGCCCTGAGGAGAAAGGGGCGGGGCTGGAAGCCGGTTGTTCCCGCTCGGAGAGGCTGAGCCAATCAGAAACCGGAATCTAAACAGAGGGGCGGGGCTGAGCGTGAGCCGTTACCGCCTGCATGGGCTGAGCCAATCAGAAGCCGGGATCTGAAGGTAGGGGCGGGGTTAAGCGAAAGGCTCTCCCGCCAAAAGGGGGAGCGACCAATCAGAGGGGGGGGCGTGGCCAAGAGGGAGTCCTGAGGAGAAAGGGGCGGGGCCACGCGTGAGACGTTCCCGCTCCACGGGGCTAGGCCAATCACAAGTGGGGGGGGCGTGGCCAAAGGGAGGGTCTTGAGAGGGCAAGGGGCGGGGCTGAGCGTGAGATGCCCATAAATGGGCTCTCATTGGTCGGCACTGGCGGTTCCCGGTGTTTTATTGGCTGCCGCGGGGGAAGGGGCGGAGCCACGCGGGGTTCCCGCCCCCCTCACGGCTCCATCCGGGGCTCGTCCGGGTCCAGGTTCCGGATGAGGAACATCGAGAGCAGCAACAGCAGCAGCTGCGGGGCAGGGCGCCCCCTAGCGCATGGGCTGACCCACAGCGAGCCCCAAGGAGAGCCCCAGAGAGTGACCCATAGAGAGCCCCATAGAGAGCCCCATAAAGCCACAGAGAGCCCCATAGAGAGCCCCATAGAGTGACCCATAGAGAGCCCCATAGAGAGCCCCATAGAGTGACCCATAGAGAGCCCCATAGAGAGCCCCATAGAACCATAGCCCCATAGTGACCCATAGAGTGACCCATAGAGAGCCCCATAGAGTGACCCATAGAGTGCCCCATAAAGCCATAGAGAGCCCAATAGAGAGCCCCATAATGTGTCCCATAGAGTGCCCCATAGAACCATAGAGAGCCCCATAGAGTGCCCCATAAAGCCATAGAGAGCCTCATAATGTGCCCCATAGAGTGCCCCATAGAACCATAGAGATCCCCACAGAGTGCCCCACAGAACCATAGAGAGCCCCATAGAGTGCCCCATAGAACCACAGAGAGCCCCATAGACCACCCCACAGACCACCCCATTGACCCAGAGACCACTCCATAGACCCATGACCTGCCCCACAGACCCTGGCCCGCACCACAGACCCAGTGAGCACCCCATTGAGCACCCCATTGACCACCCCATTGACCACCCCATAGAGCATTGAGCACCCCATTGACCACCCCATTGAGCACCCCATTGACCACCCCATAGAGCATTGAGCACCCCATTGACCACCCCATTGACCACCCCATAGAGCATTGAGCACCCCATTGACCACCCCATAGAGCATTGAGCACCCCATTGACCACCCCATTGACCACCCCATAGAGCACTGAGCACCCCATTGAGCACCCCATTGAGCACCCCATTGAGCACCCCATTGACCACCCCATTGACCACCCCATAGAGCATTGAGCACCCCATTGACCACCCCATAGAGCATTGAGCACCCCATTGACCACCCCATTGACCACCCCATTGACCACCCCATTGACCACCCCATAGAGCATTGAGCACCCCATTGAGCACCCCATTGACCACCCCATAGAGCATTGAGCACCCCATTGAGCACCCCATTGACCACCCCATTGACCACCCCATTGACCACCCCATAGAGCATTGAGCACCCCATTGAGCACCCCATTGACCACCCCATTGAGCACCCCATAGAGCACTGAGCACCCCATTGAGCACCCCATTGACCACCCCATAGAGCATTGAGCACCCCATTGACCACCCCATAGAGCACTGAGCACCCCATTGAGCACCCCACAGACCCCGTCCCGCCCCTCCTGCCCCACGCCCAGCCCCACTCCTCACCTCCACGAGGCCGCAGCCGAGGCCGCCCCCGAGCACCGAGAGCAGGTTCTGGGTCAGCCACAGCCGGGCGCCCTCAGCGCAGCCCTGGGGCAATGGGGGGTAATGGGGGCAATGGGGGGTAATGGGGGGCAATGGGGGCAATGGGGTCAATGGGGGGTAATGGGGTCAATGGGGGCAATGGGGGCAATGGGGGGCAATGGGGGGTAATGGGGTCAATGGGGGCAATGGGGGCAATGGGGGGCAATGGGGGCAATGGGGGCAATGGGGGGTAATGGGGTCAATGGGGGCAATGGGGGCAATGGGGGGCAATGGGGGCAATGGGGGGTAATGGGGTCAATGGGGGCAATGGGGGGTAATGGGGTCAATGGGGGCAATGGGGGGCAATGGGGGTCAATGGGGGCAATGGGGGGCAATGGGGGCAATGGGGGCAATGGGGGGTAATGGGGGCAATGGGGTCAATGGGGGTCAATGGGGGCAATGGGGGGCAATGGGGGTCAATGGGGGCAATGGGGGGCAATGGGGGCAATGGGGGGTAATGGGGTCAATGGGGTCAATGGGGGCAATGGGGGGCAATGGGGGCAATGGGGGTCAATGGGGGCAATGGGGTCAATGGGTGCCATGGGGGGCAATGGGTGTCAATGGGGGCAATGGGGGGCAATATGGTCAATGGGGTCAATGGGTGCCATTGGGGGCAATGGGGTCAATGGGGACAATGGGGGGCAATGGGGGGCAATGGGGGTCAATGGGGGCAATGGGGTCAATGGGTGCCAATGGGGTCAATAGGTGCCAAAGTGTATCAATGGGTGCCAGTGGGTGCCAATGGGGTCAGGGGATGCAATGGGTGCCAATGGGGTCAATGGGTATCAATGGGTGTCAACGGGTGCCAATGGATACAAATGGGGATCAATGGGTGCCAATGGGTGTCAGTGGGGTCAATGGGTATCAATGGGTGTCAATGGGTGCCAATGGGTGTCAGTGGGGTCAATGGGTATCAATTGGTGCCAATGGGGCCAATGGGTATCAATGGGTGCCAATGGGTGTCAGTGGGGTCAATGGGTGCCAATGGGTGTCAGTGGGGTCAATGGGTATCAATGGGTATCAATGGGGCCAATGGGTATCAATGGGTATCAATGGGTATCAATGGGTATCAATGGGTGCCAATGGGTGTCAGTGGGGTCAATGGGTATCAATGGGTATCAATGGGTATCAATGGGTGCCAATGGGTATCAATGGGTGCCAATGGGTCTCACCATAGGGAACAGCTCCTGCGGTGCCGCCGTGGGGCAGCGGCCGTGGGGCGGGCGCGGGGGGGTCCCTTGGGTGCTGTTGGGGGCGAGGCAGGAGCAGGCCACGGCCCCGGGGGGGCTCCAGTCCTGGGGTCCAGCCCAGCCACAGCAACGGAGCTGCGGGACAGTGGGGGCTATGGGGCTATGGGGGCTATGGGGCTATGGGGGCTATGGGGGCTATGGGGGCTATGGGGCTATGGGGGCTATGGGGGCTATGGGGGCTATGGGGGCTATGGGGGCTATGGGGGCTATGGGGCTATGGGGCTATGGGGGCTATGGGGCTATGGGGGCTATGGGGCTATGGGGGCTATGGGGCTATGGGGGCTATGGGGGCTATGGGGCTATGGGGGCTATGGGGGCTATGGGGGCTATGGGGCTATGGGGCTATGGGGGCTATGGGGCTATGGGGGCTATGGGGCTATGGGGGCTATGGGGCTATGGGGCTATGGGGCTATGGGGGCTATGGGGCTATGGGGCTATGGGGCTATGGGGGCTATGGGGCTATGGGGGCTATGGGGGCTATGGGGCTATGGGGGCTATGGGGGCTATGGGGCTATGGGGGCTATGGGGCTATGGGGCTATGGGGGCTATGGGGGCTATGGGGACTATGGGGGCTATGGGGCTATGGGGCTATGGGGGCTATGGGGGCTATGGGGCTATGGGGCTATGGGGGCTATGGGGCTATGGGGGCTATGGGGGCTATGGGGCTATGGGGCTATGGGGGCTATGGGGCTATGGGGGCTATGGGGGCTATGGGGCTATGGGGGCTATGGGGCTATGGGGGCTATGGGGGCTATGGGGCTATGGGGCTATGGGGGCTATGGGGCTATGGGGCTATGGGGCTATGGGGGCTATGGGGCTATGGGGCTATGGGGCTATGGGGGCTATGGGGCTATGGGGCTATGGGGCTATGGGGGCTATGGGGCTATGGGGCTATGGGGCTATGGGGGCTATGGGGCTATGGGGGCTATGGGGGCTATGGGGGCTATGGGGGCTATGGGTGCTGTGGGGGTTATGGGGGCTATGGGGGCTATGGGGCTTTATGGGTGTTATGGGTGCTATGGGGCTCTATGGCTGCTATGGGTGCTATGGGGCTCTGTGGGGTCCCTATGGGGTCTATGGGTGCTGTGGGGCTCTATGGGTGCTATGGGGCTCTATGGGCTCTATGGGGCTCTATGGGTGCTATGGGGCTCTATGGGCTCTATGGGGCTCTATGGGTGCTGTGGGGCTCTATGGGCTCTATGGGGCTCTATGGGGCTCACCTGTTGCTGGACGAGGTCCCAGTCCTCGTGGGGCTCCCCGGGGGGCCCTGGGCCGGGTACCCCTGGATCAGGTCCCGCGCGTGCGCCGCCATCTTGGAGAACACCTGGGGGGCAGAGAATAGCCAGCCCCACAGCCCTGCCCCATAGCCGTGCCCCATAGCATGGCCCTGCCCCACAGCCCTGCCCCATAGAATAGCCCAGCCCCACAGCCCTGCCCCATAGCATGGCCCTGCCCCACAGCCCTGCCCCATAGAATAGCCCAGCCCCACAGCCCTGCCCCATAGCATGGCCCTGCCCCACAGCCCTGCCCCATAGCCCTGCCCCATAGCCGTGCCTCATAGCATGGCCCTGCCCCATAGCCCTGCCCCATAGCCGTGCCCCATAGCTGTGCCCCATAGCGCTGCCCCATAGCCCTGCACTCACCTCGATGCGCTGGGTATAGACAATGACCCCCACCGTGATCTGCGCCGTGAAGAGCAGCAGCAGGGACCCGAAGTACTTGGGGGGCAGAGATGGGGGCGGGAGAATGCATGGGGCAGGCCCCACATGTGGCTCCCCCCCCGCCCCACATTGACCTCCCCAGCCCCATAAGTGCCCCCCCTTCCCCATCTCCTCCCCCTCCCCCATATCCCCTCCCCCTCCTCCTCCACATCCCCCCCACAACCCCCCCACATCCCCCCCACAACCCCTCTCCCCCTTCATCCCCTCCCCCCCCATCGCCCCCTCCCCCCCCACCTCGCCCCCTCCCCCCCGCCCCTCCCCCCCACGCACCAGCCCCAGCAGGACCCTGCCCCCCCGCAGGGCCCCGATGCCCCCCAGGGCCCCCAAGGCCGCGGCTCCGCCTCCGACCCCCAACCAGAGCCAGGCCCCGCCCCTGAGCGCCAGCAACGGAGACCCTGGGGGGGAACGGGGGGGGCATCAGTGGGGCTGCCCCATAGAGGGGGTGCCCCATACATGGGGGGCGCCCCATAGAGGGGGATGCCCTATGGGGGAAGGTGCCCCATAGAGCAGGGGGTGCCCCATACATGGGGGCTGCCCCATAGGTTATGGGTGCCCCATAGGGGGCTCGTACCCAGCACCCAGCTCAGGCTCCATCGGTCAAGGAGGGCCCAGAGGCCAAAGGCCACGAGGAGGGACCCTAAAAGCTGGGGGGGGAAACAGAGCACCCAGAGCACCCATTGACCCCCATAGCACCCAGAGCACCCATTGACCCCCAGAGCACCCAGAGCACCCATTGACCCCCATAGCACCCATTGACCCCCATAGCACCCAGAGCACCCATTGACCCCCATAGCACCCATTGATCCCATAGCACCCAGAGCACCCATAGACCCCCAGAGCACCCATTGACCCCCAGAGCACCCATTGATCCCATAGCACCCAGAGCACCCATTGACCCCAGAGCACCCATTGACCCCCAGAGCACCCATTGACCCTCATAGCACCCATTGACCCTTATAGCACCCAGAGCACCCATTGACCCCCAGAGCACACAGAGCACCCATTGACCCCCATAGCACCCAGAGCACCCATTGACCCCCAGAGCACACAGAGCACCCATTGACCCCCAGAGCACCCCCAGCACCTCGTAGCATCCATAGCACCCATAGCCCCCATTGACCCCATAGCACCCGTTGTCCTCCATTGACCCATAGCATCCTATAGCATCCGTAGCACCCATTACCCCCCACAGCACCCATTGCTCCCCATAGCCCCCCCATAGCCCCCATTGCCCCCCATAGTCCCCATTGCCCCCCATAGTCCCCATTGCCCCCCATAGCCCCCATAACCCCCCATAGCCCCCATAGCCCCCATAGCCCCCATAGCTCCCCATAGCCCCCATACCCCCCCCAGCACCCATGGGTGCTCACCACGGCCGCGCTGTTGAAGAGGAAGAGGAAGCCCCTGGCCAGGCCCAGGCAGCCCCAGGGCCCCATCGCCTGCACCCATGGGAGACGAGGGGGGGTCAGCACCCGCTATGGGTGCCATGGACCCCCATAGAGCCCATAGAGCCCCATAGCACCCATAGAGCCCCATAGAGCCCATAGCACCCATAGAGCCCCATAGCACCCATAGACCCCCATAGCACCCTATAGAACTCCATAGAGCCCCATAGCGCCCATAGACCCCCATTGCCCCCCCATAGCACCCATAGCCCCCCATAGAGCCCCATAGCCCCATAGGGCCCCATGCCCCCCCCACCTCCGCTCTCTGTGGTGCTCCCCACAGGGGCAGGAAGCGCCTGGGTGGGGGGGGCGGAAGTTGGGGGGGGTCACGTGGGGTGCCCATGGGGTGCTATAGGGGGAGCCAATGGGTGCTATGGGGGGAAGCCTATGGGTGCTATGGGGGGCTATATGGGGCTATGGGGTGTGCATAGCCCCCCATAGACCCCCCCATAAATCTCCCATAGTCCCCTATAGCCCCACATAGCACCCATAGGGAACCCCATAGCACCCATAGGGACCCCCATAGCCACCCACAGCACCCATAGGGACCCACATAGCACCCATAGGGACCCCCATAGCTTCCCATAGCACCCATAGGACCCACATAGCGCCCATAGGGACCCACATAACCTCCCATAGCACCAATAGGAACCTCCATAGCACCCATAGGGACCCACATAACCTCCCATAGCACCCATAGGGACCCCCATAGCACCCATAGGGACCCACATAGCCACCCATAGCACCCATAGGGACCCACATAGCACCCATAGGGACCCCCATAGCTTCCCATAGCACCCATAGGGACCCACATAGTGCCCATGGGACCCACATAACTTCCCATAGCACCCATAGGAACCCCCATAGCACCCATAGGGACCCCCATAGCACCCATAGGGACCCACATAGCACCCATAGGGACCCCCATAGCTTCCCATAGCACCCATAGGGACCCCCATACCCCCTATAGGGCACCCATAGGGACACCCATACCCCCCATAGCACCCATAGGGACCCCCATCCTCCTATAGGGCACCCATAGGGACCCCCATAGCACCCATAGGGACCCCCATACCCCCTATAGGGCACCCATAGGGACTCCAATACCCCCCATAGCACCCATAGGGACCCCCATAGCACCCATAGGGACCCCAATCCTCCTATAGGGCACCCATAGGGACCCCCATAGCACCCATAGGGACCCCCATACCCCCTATAGGGCACCCATAGGGACCCCCATAGCACCCATAGGGACCCCCAATAAGGCCCTATAGGGCACCCCACAGCGCGCCCCCCTCCCCAAAGCGCGGGAACGCTCCCCATGGTCGCCTTCCCCACACTCGCCCTCCCCATTGGCCCGCTCTTCCCCAGGCTCCTATTGGCTGGCGCGGTTCCCATGACAACGCGGGCTCACCCCGCCCTTCCGTCACCATAGCGACGCTGCGCCCATGTGACCCCGCCCCCCCAACCTCCGCCGCCTCACGTGACCAGGACGTGACGCAACCACGTGTTGCTGGCGCCAAGATGGCGGCGGCGGCGGCGGCGGCGGCGGCGCAGCGGGGAGGGGGAGGGGGCGGAGGGGGCGGGGCCAACGCGGGGGGGGGGAGGGGGCGGCGAGGGCTGCAGAGAGCACGACCCCCCCCCGGGAGGAGGTGAGGAGGGGGGGAGGGGCGGGGGGAGGGGGGGGAGCGGGACCGGGAGTGACCCCTCCCCTCCCCTCCCCCCCCGTGCTTTGTAGGGGCCTCCTCGGAGCAGATCATGAGGACGGGGGCGCTGCTGCTGAGGGGGTGAGGGGGGGGAGCTATGGGGTGGGGATGGGGGGGCTATGGGGGGTCTATGGGGAGCTATGGGGTGGGGATGGGGGGTCTATGGGGGGTATATAGGGAGCTATGGGGTGGGGGATGGGGGGGCTATGGGGGGTCTATGGGGAGCTATGGGTGGGGATGGGGGGGTTATGGGGGGGTCTATAGGGGGCTATGGGGTGGGGATGGGGGGTCTATGGGGGGTCTATAGGGGGCTATGGGGTGGGTTTGGGGGGATCTATGGGGGCTATGGGGTGGGGATGGGGGGGCTATGGGGGGTCTATAGGGGCTATGGGGGTCTATAGGGGGCTATGGGGGGTCTATAGGGGGGGTATGGGGGGTCTATGGGGGGGTATGGGGGGTCTATAGGGGGGTATGGGAGGGGTCTGTAAGGGGCTATGGGGGGTATGGGGGGGTCTGTAGGGGGGGGTATATGAGGGGTATGGGGGGATCTATAGGGAGCTATGGGAGGTCTATAGTGGGGTATGGGGGGGTCTGTAAGGGGCTATGGGGGGTCTTATAGGGGGGTATGGGGGGGTCTGTAGGGGTCTATGGGGGGGTCTATAGGAAGCTATGGGGTGTCTATAGGGGGTATGGGGGTGTCTGTAGGGGGCTATGGGCATACTATGGGGGTTCTATAGGGAGCTATGGGGGTCTATGGCGGGATATGGGGGTGTCTGTAGGGAGCTGGGGGGGGTATATGGGGGGTATGGAGGGATCTATAGGGAGCTATGGGGGGGTAGGGGGGTGTCTGTAGGGGGCTATGGGGGGTAATATGGGGGGTATGGGGGGATCTATAGGGAGCTATGAGGGGTCTATAGGGGGGTCTGTAGGGAGCTATGGGGGGTCTATAGGGGGGGTATGGGGGTCTCTGTAGGGGGCTATGGGGGACTATGGGAGTTCTATAGGGAGCTATGGGGGGGCTATGGGGGTGTCTGTAGGGTGCTATGGGGGGTCTATAGGGGACTATGGAGGTGTCTGTAGGGTGCTATGGGGGGCTATGGGGGTGTCTGTAGGGTGCTGTGGGGGGGCTATGGGGGTCTATAGGGGACTATGGAGGTGTCTGTAGAGTGCTATGGGGGGCTATGGTGGTGTCTGTAGGGTGCTGTGGGGGTCTATCGGGGACTATGGGGGTTCTATAGGGAGCTATGGGGGGGTATGGGGGTTGTATTGGGGGCTATGGGGGGTCTATAGGGGAGTAGGGGGTTCTATGGGGGTGCCTGTAGGGGTCTGTGGGGGGGTCTATAGGGGGCTATGGGGGATCTATGGGGGGGGCTATAGGGTGGGATGGAACTTGGGGTCCCTCATTGTCCATAGCCTGTATCCCATGTTACCTCATGTTATCCCATGTCGTTATCCCATGTTACTATCCCATGTTGCCTCATGTTATCCCATGTTATCCCATGGCGTTATCTCATGTCATCATCCCCTGTTATCCCATGTTACTATCCCATGTTATCCCATGTTGTTATCCCATGTTATCCCATGTTATCCCACGTGATCCCATGTTATCCCATGTTGTTATCCCATGTTATCCCACATGATCCCATGTTATCCCATGTTGTTATCCCATGTTACTATCCCACATTATCCCACGTGATCCCCTGTTATCCCATGTTACTATCCCATGTTGTTATCCCATGTTACTATCTCATGTTATCCCACGTGATCCCATGTTATCCCATGTTATCACACGTGATCCTATGTTATCCCATGTGATCCCATGTTATCCCACATCCCATGTTATCCCACATCCCATGTTATCCCATGCCGTTGTCCCGTGTTATCCCATGTTATCATCCCATGTTATCCCACGTGGTCCCATCTTATCCCACACGTGATCCTGTGTTATCCCACATGATCCCATGTTATCCCACGTGATCCCACGTTATCCCACGTGATCCCATGTTGTCCCACGTGATTCTCCTCCCTCCGCCCCAGCTTCATCCGGGATCACGTGGAGCGCTGCGGGGACGAGGCCGCGCTCGCCCTGGGCCGGGCGGAGCTGGGGGCGGAGCCGGAGGCGGGGCCAGCGCCGGGGGCGGGGCCAGCGCGGGGCGCGCCCGACACGAAGCGGCTCGGAGAGTGCCTGAGGAGGATCGGGGATGAGCTGGACCGGAACGCGGAGCTGCAGCGGTGGGGCGGGATCTGTGGGGCAGGGGGGGATCTGTGGGGCGGGATCTGTGGGGCAGGGGGGATCTGTGGGGCAGGGGGGATCTGTGGGGCAGGGGGGATCTGTGGGGCAGGGGGGGATCTGTGGGGAGGGGCGGGATCTGTGGGGGAGGGGGGGATCTGTGGGGCAGGGGGGGATCTGTGGGGCAGGGGGGGATCTGTGGGGCAGGGGGGGATCTGTGGGGAGGGGCGGGATCTGTGGGGAGGGGCGGGATCTGTGGGGCAGGGGGGATCTGTGGGGAGGGGCGGGATCTGTGGGGCAGGGGGGATCTGTGGGGAGGGGCGGGATCTGTGGGGCAGGGGGGGATCTGTGGGGAGGGGGCGGGATCTGTGGGGCAGGGGGGGATCTGTGGCGGGATCTGTGGGGAGGGGCGGGATCTGTGGGGCAGGGGGGGATCTGTGGGGCGGGATCTGTGGGGAGGGGGCGGGATCTGTGGGGCAGGGGGGGATCTGTGGGGCGGGGAGGGGGATCTGTGGGGCAGGGGGGGATCTGTGGGGCAGGGGGGGATCTGTGGGGAGGGGCGGGATCTGTGGGGAGGGGCGGGATCTGTGGGGCAGGGGGGGATCTGTGGGGCGGGATCTGTGGGGAGGGGCGGGATCTGTGGGGCAGGGGGGGATCTGTGGGGCAGGGGGGGATCTGTGGGGAGGGGCGGGATCTGTGGGGCGGGATCTGTGGGGAGGGGCGGGATCTGTGGGGCAGGGGGGTCTGTGGGGCGGGATCTGTGGGGAGGGGGGATCTGTGGGGCGGGGGGGGTCTATGGGGAGGGGGATCTGTGGGGCGGGGGGTTTTGTGGTGAGGGGGGGATCTGTGGGGAGGGGGGTCTGTGGGGCGGGGGGGGTCTGTGGGGAGGGGGATCTATGGGGAGGGGGGATCTGTGGGGAGGGGAATCTGTGGGGAGGGGGATCTATGGGGAGGGGGGATCTGTGGGGAGGGGAATCTGTGGGGAGGGGGGATCTATGGGGAGGGCATCTATGGGGGAGTCTGGACGGGTCCATTCAATGCACGGGGGGGGGGGGGGTCCATGCTGGGTCCGGACGGGTCCATTCATGGCTTGGGGAAGGGGGGGGGTGGGAATCTCTGCCGGCTCCCGATTGGTCCCTGCGGCTCCCCATTGGTCCCCGCCGGCTCCCGATTGGTCCGCGGCGGCCGCGGGCGGTTCCATTGGCCGCGGGGGGGTCCTGACCCCTTTCCCCCCCCCAGGATGATCGCGGACGTGGGCTGCGAGGCCCCCAAGGAGCTTTTCTTCCGCGTGGCCGCCGAGATCTTCTCGGACGGGGCCTTCAACTGGGGCCGCGTCGTCGCCCTCTTCTACTTCGCCTGCAAGCTGGTGCTCAAGGTGCGGGGGGGCAAAAACCCCAAAAACCCCCCAAAAAATCCTGCGGGGACCCCAAAAACCCCCCAAAACCCCCCAAAAATCCTGCGGGGACCCCAAAAACCCCCAACCCCCCCCCCAAACCCCATCAGGATCCCCAAACCCCCCCTGAATCCCCCAAAAACCTTTTGGGACCCCCAAAACCCCCCTGAATCCCCCCAAAAACCTTTTGGGACCCCCAAAACCCCCCTGAATCCCCCCAAAAACCTTTTGGGACCCCCAAAACCCCCCTGAATCCCCCCCAAAACCTTTTGGGACCCCCAAAACCCCCCTGAATCCCCCCCAAAACCTTTTGGGACCCCCAAAACCCCCTGAATCCCCCCAAAAACCTTTTGGGACCCCCAAAACCCCCCTGAATCCCCCCAAAACATTTTGGGACCCCCAAAACCCCCTGAATCCCCCCAAAAACCTTTTGGGACCCCCAAAACCCCCCTGAATCCCCCCAAAAACCTTTTGGGACCCCCAAAACCCCCTGAATCCCCCCCCAAAACCCTTTGGGATCCCCAAAACCCCCCTGAATCCCCCCCAAAACCTTTTGGGACCCCCAAAACCCCCCTGAATCCCCCCCCAAAACCCTTTGGGATCCCCAAAACCCCCCTGAATCCCCCCCAAAACCTTTTGGGACCCCCAAAACCCCCCTGAATCCCCCCCCAAAACCTTTTGGGACCCCCAAAACCCCCCTGAATCCCCCCCAAAAACCCTTTGGGACCCCCAAAACCCCCCTGAATCCTCCCCGAAACCCTTTGGGACCCCCAAAACCCCCATTAAACCCCTCAGGACCA